AGCAGAGAGGAGGGAGCACCTTGGAAGAGGGGAGGGAAGGAAGGGAATTTTCCCTGTGGGAATAAAGGAATTCCAGCCCCAACAGGTACCAAAGCCGGACAAAGGGGATTCATTCCTCACGGCTGCTCTCAGGAATGTTGTTCTTCCACTTCCACCAAAGCTCAGCACCCACAGCACAGAAAATGAGCTGGAGTTTGCAGGTTTTTTGTTTTTCTGCTCTCAGCTTCACAAAAAAACTCCTAAATAACAATGAAATCATCATTTCCCTTCTGTTTTGGTGCTGGTTTGAAGCGAGTGTGAGGCAGCTGTTGATTTTTCTCAGCCATAAATCAGCTTTCCTTGGCACTTGGAAACTCAGGAGAGAGGGGGGAGAAAAATTAAAAAATTAAAAAATAAAAGGAGGTGAGAGGGGAGGGGAACTGCTGAGGGTGGGCTGAGTTTGACTTTCAATTTCAATTTATTTTTGATTCTTTAGCTGCTGTGGGCAGGGAAATCAAAAACTGAGGGCGGATTTGCCAAGGATGGATTTGGGATAAGGGGAAAAGCAAAGGCCCTGCTGCATTTCCTGCTGCTGAGTTCTTTATTCCAGAATATTCCCATTGTTAGGGAGCAAAGCATTCCCATGGCAGCACCAGGAGGGAGCATCAGGCTGGGGAAAAAAAAAAAGCTAAATTTGGCTCAAAAAATCCCTAAATTTGGCTAAAAAAACCCCTAAATTTGGATAAAAAACCCCCTAAATTTGGCTCAAATTCCTCAGAAACCTGAGCTCTTCCTATGGAAATCCCCCCTCCCTGGCTTTTTAAAACTCTCCCCCCTCAATTCTGCCTTCACCCCAGAAAGAGAAATGAAAAAAAAAAAAAAATTAAAAATCCCCTAAAATAATAAAAATAATAAGTAAAATATAAATATAAATATAAATATATAATACAATATAAAATATACAATATACAATATACAATATATAATATAGTATGTAGTATAATATAATGTATAATATATTATATATAATATAATATATAATATATAATATATTACATATTACATATTATATATTATATATTATATATTATATATTATATATTATTTTTATATTTTATATTTATATATTATGCATATAAATAATGAAATAAATAAATCTAATTATACAAAAATAATAATAAAAATAATCCCCTAAAAATGCATTTTCCTGTAGGTAAAGGGATTAGAATTGGAGTTCACCCAGGAAAATTTAGGATTTTCCAGAGGACACAGCCAAGGCTCTTGGGGCAGGAATTTGTGCTCTTTTTGTTGCTTAGGGCACCCAAAAGTTGTTGCCCTAAACAGGAGAATGGTGAGCAGCAATAAGTGAACACAAATAGAAATATCTGGGATCAGGCCAGCAACACAAGGCCATGTGAAAACAAAAATAAATTAAAAACCAAACCAGAAACGTTCTCTGTGAAAATCTGACAGCATTTTAAATAAACTGAATATCACAGCTTTCATACAAAGCCAAATCATTTTGTATATTTTGATTATTTTGCTGCAATTATTGATAATTTTAGAGGCTGCAACACATTTTTCTGGGTGTTCTCCTTTTTTTTTTTTTTAAATTTGGCTTTCTGCTTTTACTTTCTTCCCTTTCCCTATTTGATCACTGTGACAGCTTTCATTTTCAGCTTACAATCAAAAAAAAGAAAAAAAAAAGGTGGGTGGCAGCTTTATTTCCAGGCACACATTGGATAGCTGGGGGTAGAAAAAAACACATTTTTTTTCCCTAAAAAAAAATAAAGTTTCCATGTAAAAAAGCCCAGCCAGATCCAATGCAGGGACATTAAAGTTCCAAGGACGTGATCTTGGCAGGCTTGGAAAATAATTTCCAGCCAGTCTCACCTAAAAAAATAAAACAAAACAAAAAAATCCTATTTCAGTTCCTTCTTGTTTGATGCAGCAGCTCATCCAACCAAACCAAGTTCAGTATTTCACCTTCCCTAATGTGGATTTATTCCTGTTTGAATTTATTGTGTGGATCTGTCACAGGCGGAGCAAAGAGGTTCCCATCTGGGCAGAGTCCCTGGGAGCTGCCTCCAGAGCAAATTTCATTTTTATTGTTATTTCCTGCTTGAGTAATTCAGCTGGAGCACAGGAGGGAGGCCCAGGGAGAGAAATCCAAACGTTTTCTGCTGGCTGCAGATCCCTGCTCTCCCCAGGGAGATGGGAAGGTGGGATCAGGATTAATTTGGGGTTTTTATTTCTCCTCCTGGGTCTTCACGGTGCTCCCAGCGAGGCTGGAATGAGTTCATGGGTGCCAAACCCTTCTGGGGGCTCCAGCAATCCAAATTTGAGCACAAATATTGTTATTAATACTCTTAATTCTCCTCCTCTGTTAAAATGGAACAGAAAATATTGTTATTAATGGCCTTAATTCTCCCCCTGAATTAAATTGGAGTGGATTGGGTGCCTGATCCTGATTTCACAGCTGAAATCCACAGCTAAATTCATTTCACCCTCTGGTTTAATGAAGTCCTTGCCAATTAATAGTGAGAGCAAATTAAAGAACCTCAGCAACATCAGAGGAGTTAAAAGTGATTTTAAGAGAGGAACAAGAAGCACTTTTTTAGTTTGGTTTTGGTTTTTTTGTGCTGTGTCTTTCTGGAGCTGGAATTTCCATGGGATCCTCAGTTCAGGGATGGTTTTTTCCTGTGGATAAAGAGGCAGAAAATCTCCTGGCACAGGAGGAGAACGAGCAGGGAGCTGGGAGGGGAATTATTTTTTCCCCTTCATTGATACAACAAAATGGAAATGGGCTGTTGGTTTCCCCTAATGGGAATAATAACAACTGCACTGATAGATTTGTCATTGCCAGTATTGATTTCCTTCCCCGACATAAACTATTTTTAAAAATGCCTCTTCATGGGTCTTTATTTGCTGGCAGGGTTGGGGATTCAGGCTGCTCTGCACTGGGCCTGCAGGAGCAGGGTCTGCCTGGCCTTGAAAGTGAAAGGAAAAGTGGAAAAAAGGGAAAGTCAAGGGAAAAAAAATTAAAAAGTAAAAGGAGAAGGATGAGGAGGATGAATTGAAACAGAATGAGGAGAAAAGCAGGAATATCTGTCCCACCCAGCCCACAGGAACTGCAGGGAGGGGAGCACAAGGATGAGGTAAAAACTTTGGAGCACAGCTCTGTGTTTTGCCTTGAGCCACGTCCAGGTGAGCACAAAGATCCTTGAGTGGAGCTGCTGGAGCCATTCCAGGGAAAAGCACGGAGCTGATCCAGGGCTGGAGCCCCCTGAGCCAGGCTGGGACAGGAGCAGCTCCAGGGAGGGCTCAGAGCCCTGGCAGGGCCTGGAGGGGCTCCAGGAGAGCTGGAGAGGGACTGGGGACAAGGATGGAGGGACAGGAGCCAGGGAATGGCTGCCAGTGCCAGAGGGCAGGGATGGGTGGGACACTGGGAATTGGGAATTGTTCCCTGGCAGGGTGGGCAGGGGCTGGGATGGAACTCCCAGAGCAGCTGGGGCTGCCCTGGAGCCCTGGCAGTGCCCAAGGCCAGGCTGGACACTGGGGCTGGAGCAGCCTGGGACAGTGGGAGGTGGGATGGGATGGGGTGGGATGGGATGGGATGGGATGGGATGGGATGGGGTGGGATGGGATGGGATGGATGGGATAGGATGGGATGGGATGGGATGGGATGGGATGGGATGGGATGGGATGGGATGGGATGGGATGGGATGGGATGGGATGGGATGGGATGGATGGATGGGATGGATTGGGATGGGATGGATGGGATGGGATGGGATGGGATGGGATGGGATGGGATGGGATGGGATGGATTGGGATGGGATGGAATGGATTGGGATGGGATGGGATGGGATGGGATGGGGTGGGATGGGATGGGATGGGATGGGATGGGATGGATGGGATGGATGGGATGGGATGGGATGGATGGGATGGGATGGGATGGGATGGGATGGGATGGGATGGGATGGGATGGGATGGGATGGGATGGGATGGGATTTCTGTTTGGGTTATCCCAACCCAACCCTTTCCATGACAGTGGAAGTGGCAGAGGGAGACCTGGAGAGGCCTGACCCCCCCCCTTTGTGGAGTTTGGTTGGGATCACAGAAAGGATTTCCTAAAAAATGAAAGAAGGGAAGGGAAGGGAAGGGAAGGGAAGGGAAGGGAAGGGAAGGGAAGGGAAGGGAAGGGAAGGGAAGGGAAGGGAAGGGAAGGGAAGGGAAGGGAAGGGAAGGGAAGGAGGGAAGGGAAGGGAAGGGAAGGGAAGGAGAAGGAAGGGAGGGAGAGGAAGGAAGAAGAGAAAGAAAGAAAGAAAGAAAGAAAGAAAGAAAGAAAGAAAGAAAGAAAGAAAGAAAGAAAGAAAGAAAGAAAGAAAGAAAGAAAGAAAGAAAGAAAGAAGAAAGAAAGAAAAAGAAATTCTATATATTAATAAATAAATGAACAAACAAATAAAAGCAAAAAAATATTACAATAAAGGCAAAGCGAACAAAAATAAACAAACAAATAAATAATTAAATAATTAACAGATTTCTAATAAAGGCAAAACGAACCAAAAAAACGCACCCAAAATAAATAAATAAATGAACATAACGACCATAGTAAAGGCAAAACAAACAAAAAAAAACCCAAAAAACAAAAAGAAAGGAAAAAAAAGAAAACCAAACCGCGCGTGCACGTGCTTTCTTTTTCCTTTTTTTTATTTAATTTTTAATTTTTTTTTTTTTTTTTTTTTTTTTTTTTTTTTTTATTTCAGGAAACCTTCCTTTCTCCCGCCCGCTCCCGCGCATCCCCCACCCACCCTCGGCGGGGCGGGGGCATCATCCCGGCTGCGCTCCCCGCATCCTCCCCTCCCTCCCTTCCCCTCCCTCCCTTCCCCTCCCTCCCTTCCCCTCCCCTCCCCTCCCCTCCCCTCCCCTCCCTCCCTCCCCGGCCGGCCGTGGGCGGTGTCGCCGCGGCTCCCCGGCCGTGCGTGGCTGTCCCCGCCGCTGTCCCCAGCCCCTGGCGTGCATGGCCGAGCGCGGGCGGCGATGGCAGCGCGCTGATGGCCCAGCTCGCCATGGCCGCCCGGGAGGAGCTCTACAGCAAAGTCATCCCCCGGCGGAGCCGCCAGCACCGCGCCGGGACCATCAAACATGGCTCTTCGCTGGAGATCCTGCTCTCCATGGGCTTCCCCAAAGCACGGGCGTGAGTCGCTGCCCCGCGGGGCTTTTCTGCTCTTTTCTCGCGTTTCATCGAGAGGGGAGAGGCGGAGACGCGGCGGGCGCCGCTCGGCTGCGCTGCTCCCGAGCGGAGCGGGGCCGGACGCGGGGAGGGAGAGCCGGGGAAACGGGGATCCAGCCCGGGAAGAGGCGGGGATGCTCGGCCGGAGAGGGGGATGCGCTCCCGGAGAGGCGGATGAGCTCCCGGAGAAGGGGATGCATTCCAGGAGAAGGAGGATGCTCTGCCGAGAGGGAAATGAGCTCCCAGAGAGGGGGGATGCACTCCTGGAGAGGGAGGATGTGCTCCCGGAGCACGGGGATGCTCTGCCAGAGCGGCCCGGACAGCGGGGAATGCGCTCCCGGAGCAGGGGATGCTGTGCCGGAGTAGGGGATGCTCTGCCGAGAGGGAAATGCGCTCCCGGAGCAGGGGATGCTCTCCTGGCACTGGGAAATGCTCTCCCGGCTGCCAGAGGACGCTTCCCCGGCTGCGAGGGGATGCGCTCCCCAGGCGGCCCGGAGATGCCTTCTCGGAGGGAAGCGGGGAACGCTCTCCCGGCAGCGGCGGATGCGCTCCCAGAACCGGGGGGATGCGGCGCGATGCTGTCCCGGGCTGGGGGCGATACGGCCTGGGGATGCCCTCTCAGAACGGCCCGGACAGCTCGGGATGCTCTCCTGGAGCAGGGAATGCTCTCCTGGGGCAGGGAATGCTCTCCTGGGGCTGGGAATGCTCTCCCGGAGCAGGGAATGCTCTCCTGGAGCAGGGAATGCTCTCCTGGGGCAGGGAATGCTCTCCTGGGGCTGGGAATGCTCTCCCGGAGCAGGGAATGCTCTCCCGGAGCAGGGAATGCTGTCCTGGGGCTGGGGAATGCTCTCCTGGAGCAGGGAATGCTCTCCTGGAGCAGGGAATGCTCTCCTGGGGCAGGGGATGCTCTCCCGGAGCAGGGGATGCTCTCCCGGAGCAGGGAATGCTGTCCCGGAGCAGAGGATGCTGTCCCGGAGCACTGAATGCTCTCCTGGAGCAGGCAATGCTGTCCCGGAGCAGGGAATGCTCTCCTGGGGCTGGGAATGCTCTCCTGGAGCAGGCAATGCTGTCCCGGAGCAGGGAATGCTCTCCTGGGGCTGGGAATGCTCTCCTGGAGCAGGGGATGCTCTCCCGGAGCAGGGGATGCTCTCCCGGAGCACTGAATGCTCTCCTGGAGCAGGGAATGCTCTCCTGGAGCAGGGAATGCTCTCCCGGAGCAGGAAATGCTCTCCTGGAGCAGGCAATGCTGTCCCGGAGCAGGGAATGCTCTCCTGGAGCAGGGGATGCTCTCCCGGGGCCCGGGGATGCTCTCCTGGAGCAGGGGATGCTCTCCTGGAGCAGGGAATGCTGTCCCAGAGCAGGGAATGCTCTCCTGGAGCAGGGAATGCTCTCCCGGAGCAGGGAATGCTCTCCCGGAGCAGGGAATGCTCTCCGGGGCCCGGGGATGCTGTAGGACCCTCGGGATGCTCCGCTTGCCTCCTCCGGCCAGGCAGGAGCCCCGGGCACTCCGGGTCCCTGTCCTGAAGTTTGGGATCGCCAGGGAGGCACCAGAAGTTTTTGCCACCCCAACTGAAATCGCTTTAGCTCGGACACCCGGGGGATTTGCTTTAAGCCGTGTACAAATCACCCTAAAAGCAGCGGAGCACCCGAAGTAAATTTCCACCCGTAGCCCGAAGCGGTTCGGTTTTTCTTGCCCGATTCACGCCCTGTGTGTGCTTAGGCTTTAAATTAACCAGGCAGCAAACTAATGACAACTTAATGAGGGAACAGCGGCTCCTGAGGTGGGAGCGCTCGCTTTGGGATGCAAATGAAACCGGTGGGGATCGGGACGGCTCCTTGATCTCCCTAAGTTTTCAGTTTGTTGTTGATACCCATCAGAACTCCGGGGTTTTGCAGCTTGTCTTGTCACAGATTTTATATTTATATATATAAATATAGACAGGCACATGCAGTTTAAGGGCATATGTTCCTTGTGGATCCGTGGGATTGCATGGATCCACCAGCACATGCAGGAAATCTTATTTTTGTTTTGCACGGTGCTGCTTTGCACTCCTTCTGGCTGTCAGTTATCTACTGAGATCAGCACACAGCTTTTAGACACAGTGAATGCAAATGAAGAGCAGGGCAGAGCTGTGACTTCATGCTTAGCTCGGCTGGGAGAAAAGATGGTTGGGAAAAAAAAAAAAAAAAAAAGATGTGTATCTTTCAGTGGAGCTGGAATTTAAAAAAAAAAATCAGCTTGATGCTATGAATGAAAGTGGTTCTTACCTGCACAACAGTGCCATCAAGGCTGCCAGGCAGCCCTGCTCTCACCTGACTCAGGAGCTGTGTCTGTGGGCCACATTCCTGCCCAAAAAAGCTCTGGCGTTTGTTAAAATGCACTCATTGTTTCATCATGCAAAGCAGAGGAGGTTAAACACAGGCAGCAAGCCAGGAAAATGGGCAAAATATCCCCACATGCAAAAAGTACCTATTGGAAATACAATGGGGCAGATGGGAAAAGCTGTATTGATATTGAGTTCAGGATAACCCTGTGGGACAATGCAGCAGACAAGGTTAAACACAGGCAGCAAGCCAGAAAAAGGAGTAAAATATCCCTAAATGCAAAAAGTACTTACTGGAAATACAATCAGGCAGGTGGGTAAAGCTGTCTTGAGCTCAGGATAACCCTGTGTGACAATGCAGCAGAGTAGGGAAGGTTAAACACAAGGAGCAAGCCAGGAAAATGAGCAAAATATCCCTAAATGCAAAAAGTGCCTATTGGAAATACAATCGGGCAGATGGGTAAAGCTGTACTGAGCTGAGGATAAACCTGTGTGACAATTCAGCAGACAAGGTTAAACACAGGCAGCAAGCCAGAAAAAGGAGTAAAATATCCCTAAATGCAAAAAGTACTTACTGGAAATACAATCAGGCAGGTGGGTAAAGCTGTCTTGAGTTCAGGATAACCCTGTGTGACAATGCAACAAAGCAGAGGAGGTTAAACACAAGGAGCAAGCCAGGAAAATGAGCAAAATATCCCTAAATGCAAGAAGTGCCTATTGGAAATACAATTGGGCAGGTGGGCAAAGCTGTACTGAGCTCAGGGTGACCCTGTGGGACAGCTCAGCTCTCTGCTGGGACAGGCACCACCCATCCCATCTGAAGGAGCAGTGAGTGCCCCTGTCCCACCCTGCTGGAAATGCCACAAATAATTTATCATTAAAATCCACGCAAGAAGCAAAATGAAAATAAACCCATTAAAATCCAAGTGGTGCCACCAAGGGTAGGAGGAGGATGGAGCAGAGGTTTGGGAGCTTGAGAGAGAGGAGTGCATGGCAAAAGAACATTTCCTAAAGGGCCAGAAAATGATTTTTAACTCTCAGCATTTCTCTGGATGAGGGAATGAGAATGCCAAGATGCCAGGGACATAAAATCATCATCTTCCTCCAGAGATGGTAGGGACAAGTAGCCTTAAAGCCCTTGTGAGTTTTCCCCCAAAACTCTCCCACCTGTGTTTTGCTGCCCCAAAGCCACAGCTCCAGCAGGGATTTCAGTGAGATGGGAATTCAGAGAAATGGGATTTCAGTGAGGTGGGAATTCAGAGAAATGGGAATTCAGTGAGATGAGATTTCAGTGAGATGGGAATTCAGAGAAATGGGAATTCAGTGAGATGGGATTTCAGTGAGATTGGAATTCAGTGAGATGGGAATTCAGTGAGATGAGGATTCAGTGAGATGGGAATTCAGTGAGATGGGAATTCAGTGAAATAGGATTTCAGTGAGATTGGAATTCAGTGAGATGGGAATTCAGTGAGATGAGGATTCAGTGAGATGGGAATTCAGTGAGATGGGAATTCAGAGAAATGGGAATTCAGTGAGATGGGAATTCAGTGAAATAGGATTTCAGTGAGATGGGAATTCAGTGAGATGGGAATTCAGTGAAATGAGATTTCAGTGAAATTGGGAATTCAGCTCTGTGCACACAAGCACGAGCCAGGCTGGTACTTAAAAGTGGTGACCATCTGTTTGGGTGGCTTATGCAAAACAAACCTCCAAGTTGTCAGACAAGTCTGTCAGGCATGTCACCAAACACCAGCACTGCCTCCTGGCTCTCTGGTGCAGCTGGGGGCACTGCCTGGGGACAGGGACAGGGTCCCAGGGCTGCCATCTGCATTTCCAGGGGGCACTGAGGAGTGAGGCCCTGGGCAGAGCTCACAGCGCCTGGCTTTGCCCTGTAGGTGTTAAAATAATCGAAGGTGAAAGGTTAAATATGATCTCCAAGTGTTGCTCGGGGCTCAGTTAAGGCAGAAATTGTTAAAATAATCGAAGGTGAAAGGCTAAATGTGATCTCCAGGTGTGGCTGGGGGCTCAGTTAAGGCAGAAATTGGGCTGAGGCAGGCCGGAACCAAGAGGGGATGTCAGGTAGCAAGTGCCAAACTGCAAGAGGTTCTAAAAAAGCCTTTATTTGTCCATCCCACAGGTGGTTTATGGGGCACTGGGGTGAAGGCTCCCTCACAGGACGTGTCCTTCCCCTCTGGGCTGAGCTGGGACTGCAGTTTTGGGTCTGCCCTGATCCAGCGTCCCACAGCTCACACTGAGACCTTCGGGGTTTTCCCCGTTCCCCTCTCTGAGGAATTTTTTGGCACAGCTCTGTCTGTTTTCCTTCTCCCCAGCACCAGCTGCAGCTCAGGGCTCCTCTGAATCACAGGGTGAAGTTCAAACCCCTTCTGGAAGGTTCTACCTGAGCATGGCACTGCTCAAGCACAGTGGTGTCATCCCTTTGAGCCATCACCAGGAGCTGCTGCTCTGCCCTGCTGGCTCCTGCCAGCACACAGCCATCATCATTATTATTATTATTATTATTTTATTTTGCAATTAGCCCATTAGATTACGTACTGTCTGGCGTCCCTACCCCCAGGAGTTTCTGATTGTGGCAGGCAAGGAAGGCAAAGGTGAGGTTAAAATTCCCATTTCACACTTTGG